AGAACGACTCAGAGGCGCGAGGAGGAACCACGGACGAGCACGAAGGCAGCAGCCGGGTGGTGAGCCGATGCCAAATTCTCCCTCCCCCCAAGCTCTGTGGTCCTCTATATATTAAGGTGTTATCGGCCAATTAAATGAGTGGGAGGAGATCGGAAACATTCGGAGAAAACCCTGACATGCAAAGGGGACACAACTATCCCATGCAGATGAAACAAATGGAGATTGGTCCACACTTTCTGTGCTGCCATCTCCTGGTTCGTCAGCATATGGCACCTCGATGTCCCTGGGAAAGGGAGTTCCAAAACACGTGTGATCCACCAACCTTTGCCTCCACAGTGCTAGATTACAGGCACGCACGCACCACCACGCATGTTGGCCAGACATCTTATCAGAAATGAGAGTACCCACACTTTATTCCCACCACACGCAATCTCCGAATCGAGAGGCGGATGGCGGGGAGGGGGGGAGGTTTAAGAATAAACGTTTCCATTGTTATCGCTGCCACACCGGGAGATGGGGTTGAGCCGGCTACCTCTGGGTTGCAATTCCAGTGTGCTGACCATTAAGCCATGGCGGCATCCCCATGTGTATTATACGGATGCATAAACCGGAGAAAGGTGTCTTCCCGGAATAAATATGAGCCTTTTATATAGCACAAAGAGGTCCGGAGAGAATCATTTACTTGGATTAGAGTCCAAATAGGAATCTGAGTCATCACAATCACAAGCTTGGGTGATAATGGGAATCTATGTGCAGGGAACGAATGGCAGTTGAGAGAAGGCATACCTCGAGGGGCAATAGCTATGGGCTACGTTGTGCGGTCATGTTGTGGAGTGAGATCTAATTACACGTACGCGGGATCACGGGTGCTAGTGTTTTCGCACAACAGTGGAACTGACAATGGTTGATGTCAAGAACAATTGCATTGCAGGCGGTATTCATCTCATCTCACGAAATACCGTAAATTCTACATGTTGTTCTCGTTGGCTCTTAAAAAAGGTAAAGGTGCAGCCCTGCAGTTGCTTGCTCATGCCACTGCTGGCGGAAGGGCCTCCATTAGAGGGAGGTCTAGAGATCCTCCTCGCAGAGGTGACTTGGCCTACTCATCCATGCTGGCCAGACATTATTAAAATAGGTTTATACGAGAAAAAAAATACTCATGAATTAATTGTTATTGATTGCCAAACTTTTGGACATTGGCAAGTAAAATAACCACCGGTGGAAATTCCACAGTCATATGTCAGATATCAGACGATCAGAATCTTTATTTAGACTGGAGGAATCCGATGAGCTATGAAGCTTTTTTCCATAGATGTCCAGTTTGTCCAGCACTACCCAAAGGACAACCACTATCGACCACCCAGACAATGGTAATCATATTATTATTAAACCTACCTGGGTGATGGGTTGAGTACATCCATGACTGGGATGAAAGTCACGACCTTGCGATCGGGAACAGAGCGGTCTGCCAAAGTACCGAAGTGGCCGGACTATGATACGATGCCATAATCAAACCCAAGATCACGCACACTCTCATTAACGTGTCGGCACCATGGGCTGTCTGTGGCCCCACGCTTGGCTTCCTAAGCGCACCAGGACTGCTGTGAACAAGGTGAACAGCTTGTGACCCATTGTGCCTGGGAGCAATGGGTCTGAGTTCACCTGCTGCCCTCACCAAGTCCCCTCACGCCCCTGACCCCCCCAATCCACCCACACCCACCCACCACCACAAGACTCACCGCGTCTGAGCGGCCTGATTTATTCCGACAGGAAATCACAGGACTATAATGAGAGTGTTCACAAGCCATCCGTTAGAGAAGCCCTGCCGGAGGCCATTAAGGTGGCAACGGCAAGAGCTGGGGAAAGGCAATGCGCTGTTCAAAATGAAAAACCAAATGCGCGCATCGCCCATGTGTAGCCGCAGTTCTTATAATCTCACGGTTCGCCCATCACCCACTTTCGTCCGCACACCACGAAACAATGACTTGAGGAAGAAAAGAAAAACGATGGCTTGAAAAAGTTTTGTTTCGCGCAGATCCAATTTAAAACACGCGAAGCGTTTTTGCTGTTGTTGCTATGACTGTTACTAACAACAACGTGACTTTGAAGGTTTTAAAGAATTATTCGCTGGACCGAGCGTGGAGGAATTCAATGGCGACGCAGGATTTCCAGTGAAACACAAAGAGTTTCAAGTACGTGTTTAAAAGTCGAGGAGCATGTTGCCAAACGCGCGAGGCCGCCGATGTTTGAGGACGGGCCGACGTAAAAACGTAGTGGCAGGACCAGATGAGGGAGGCCTGATTCTTTCTGAAGTGACCTCTAGGATGTGTGGAAATTACATTGGATGACATCTCTTTGCTGTTTTGCTCTCCTGGATAGGGAAAGTATATAGAGAAACTTAATCAGTGGAGAGTCGAAGACGAACTCCTGCGCATGCTTAATAAACAGTCCCTTCTCCCGAGTGAAATAAGAATGAGGCTTACACAGTGGAATCTGACATCAATGCACTGCCGCTAAGCAGCTAAGAAATGTTCAAAAGGGTAACAATTCACACGTGTTTGCCTGCCATTTTAATATATGTAACAATAATAATAGTCAATTCCAGCCAGTCTCAAGCCACCTATGCATAAACACTATAAAAGAAAAAAACTATGATTTAAATTTTATTTTACCAGGTAAGGCCTCCTGAGTGATATAGTTTTCTCTTTTTTAAGCGGCTAGGCCACAAATGGTAGCTCAACGAAGTGGCTTATCACGTGGCAATTTATAACAGCCAAATACTCGAAACGCATGCTTCTAAATGTGAAGGGAAAACTGGAGGACTCGGAGGTAAAATCCACACGACCATGGAGGAGAACATGCGAAGTCAAAATATACGTGCGTCAGGGACGGGATCGAACCCACGCCCTTCTGTATACCGAGCAAGCTAGTTGACATCTCGCTACCATGGCGCCCCATGGATGGATGATGGCTTCCACACACCAAGTGGGTCTTCGGAGTGTTTTTTTTACCATACTTCACCATGCTGGTCAGCGTGGGGTTGATGTAGTGGAAGGGCACGGCCCGGTAATCAAACTCTTAATGTCGTCCTAACCCTGCCATCGTTTCAACCCTGCCATTTTAATGACACAATTTTAATAGCCTCCCACTGCTAATCAAGCTTGTTTTCTCTCTCCTGAATACTTAGCTTGGCTATATGACCTTGACCGAGCTGGGTCATATCACCAATGTCACCGAGCTAAGAGGGGGACACACACACACATGCCTGTAAGCTCATGCTTCCATGGCAGGGTTGATTGCTCACACAGAGATCACCGTGTGCATTGTGCATTGAGCAAGGCTACAATAGAAAAACAGCGAGAATGTTGCTGACCTGTGGGTAAAGATTTTAGAGAATTGACCTTTAGTATGTTTCTTTAACTTCCTGGCACTCCAGTTTCCTCTTCCCCATAAAAAAAAAAACTTCAAGTGGAAGTCACCAAACATCACTAACAGAATCCCCATTATTTAGGAGTCTTGAATTGAAGTGAGGGTTTTCCTAGATTCTATATATATTTTTTACAAAACCTTTTTATTCCTTGACCCAACTGCTTCATGCCAACTGAGTGGTGATGGCTACACACTGAAATTTAGGTGAAATCCCAGTTGTGAGTTGCCTCAGCCAATCGGCTCCTTTGTTGGAACCCATCGTATTGACATTTAAAATGTGGACAACTTGCTTGGAGCCACAAAGGGCATTCATCACCTGTCAGTGCACATTTTTTTAAAACCAAGAAGCGCTTTCACTTCTTAAACGGCGAAAATGCTCGATGCTTATGATGATGAAGATGCGGACGACATTGGCAATCATGATGATGATGAAGATGCCCACAACATCGGCAATCATGATGATGATGAAGATGCGGACGACATTGGCAATCATGATGATGATGAAGATGCCGACGACAGTGGCAATCATGATGATGATGAAGATGCCGACGACAGTGGTAATCATGATGATGATGAAGATGCCCACAACATCGGCAATCATGATGATGATTATTATATAATGGCAATGGTGATGATAATGTTGAAGACGTTGAAGGCAAAACATTTAATGATAATGCTGCGAATCACGAGTATGATGACGATTAAGTAATCTTAATGAAGTTGTTGATGATGACAATGGTCGTGATGATGAGATAATGATTGTGATGATGCTGCTACTAGTTCTGATGATGATGATGAATATGATGATAATATATGAATGATGGTGGTGGCAGTAGTGGTGTTGATGATGTTGCAATAATTATGATTATGATGATAATGACAAATAAGATATGTTAAATGTAATGGTGGCAGCAGCGCTGTTGATGATGTATGTATGTTGAACTTCTTTCACACCGTACGTAGTCAACTGTGCCAATCAGAGGTACGGGGGAAGGACAACAAACTAAACACAAAGAGCAGTTAGAAAGAAATTAGTTAACAGTGCATAGCACCAGTGGCTTCCTAATATCGGAAGGAAGAGCATTTCAATCGGCCGCAGAAGTGCAACTGAAAGTGCTCGATGCGGTGACCGTCTTTGTTCGATGGATAGCCCAAATGCCACTGCCTGCTGTGAGAATGACCGAGGTTTGCGTGATGGTTTATGCTTCTTGACGAGGCCGGCGAGGTATTGTGCTTAATTTGTGGCAAGCCCTTTGTGTTTAATGGGCGCGACCGCAGCGGCGCTCATCGCCACGGATGACAGCCGCGCTTCTGCGGCCGTCTGGAACGCTTTTCCTTCTGTTAGGAAGCCACTTGAGCTATGCACTTTCAATTCTAGATTGATGACTAATTTCTTTAGCACTCCTTTTTGTGTTTAGTTTGTTGTCCTTCCCCTGCGACTACGATAATTATCACTGTTGGCTACGTACGGCGCGAAGGAAGTTCAACGTACGTACACACACACAAACAGTGGCAACGATAGTGGCGGCGGGGGAGGCCTGACGAAGGCTCATCATGTGCCGCAGCCATACCTGGAGGAGCCACTTCTCAACCAGACCCCGCGCATCCGCAGGGACGATCCTCTCCACCAGCGCCACCCTCTCGCCCTCAGCCGACTCCATGTGCGTGATCTCCTTGTCGGCGTTGAAGGTGAGACACGCGATGCCCTCGAAACACTTCTTGAGGTGAGGCTGCACGCGCTGGGGCTCCCTCGTCTCCGAGAGGATCTCCAGCAGCTCGTCGTTGGACAGGAAAAAGAACCTTCGGAAACAAAGGGGCCGGGAGAAAACGATGAAGAGCAAAGCCTCGCTCAGCGCAGCGGAGGATAACAGCAGGGCTCGGTGGCACCTCCGTTTTACACGTACGTACGTAGAGCAGAAAACCGGAGCGTAACTTTGTGCAACTGTCACAAACGTAGCCAAATAAACACCGAGTGAAGTGCAGGCAAATACGTTGCACGTGAAGAGCAATATAATGCCAAGTATGTGTCTGTCAAACACGCAATGAGCAATTATGTTTATCAAAAGGATCCTGAAACGGCACATTTGCCGAATTAGTTTTTAACCAGCGTTTTACTTGCGGCAGGGAGGCAGAATACAAGGAGAAAATCCTCACAAACGCTTGTGGGAATAAAACCCAAAGGTTCGCGTGGACAAGTTGATAAACCCATTTGCTGTGCTGTTCTGCAATCTCCTGTCCCCCACTTGCAGCCCAGCAGCATTTGGGAGGATCACAAATAACCAGAAGGCGACCAAACTCTGGCCCCCAATGCGTCGGATCGCGGGCATGTGGGCAAGATGCCAGGCCAGCCTATTGCTTGTTGTAACAAAGTCGATAGGCCAAGATCAGAACTTCTCTTGCTGGCAGCAAAACGAAAGTGTGGGGAAAAAATCGTCGCCGTGTCTTTTGTAAAGGTCGATAACCAGGGACGATATGATTGCGGGTGATGTATTGCGTGCGATAACCGTCGCAGAGAAGCGGGTTTTCAATATTAGTTTTAAACTAAGCAGTGCGCCCACCCTCTTGCGTGTTCTGATAATGAACCGCGATGACTCGCGACAGCAAGGAAGGTCACCGTTTTCAGCCAACAAACCGAAAAAAAACGCGGTTTTGTCAAATCCATCTGAAATATAAGTGAACGATATGGGAGCTCATTATCACCCGGCAATCACAACAACAACGAGAGTCTGCAATTCAAAAATGTCATGTTGTGTAATGTTAATTTCATACACGGACTCATAAGAGCAATATATTACGATTCACAATTCATTTTTTAGGGGTTAGATCGGCGTGTGGGTATGTCACGAGCGCTATGCAACCTCAACCGCCTGACACAGCCAGACAGTGACTTGCCACCTCGACGAATGTGCCAATTGGTTTTGTTAATCAGCAGACTGGTTTATTTTTTATTTCACCAGGTAAGGCCCACCGAGCTATGTAGGTATTTTTTTAACTGGCTGAAGGTAATCACCTAGGATGGGGTTAGCTCTTAAGGTAAAGCATAAGCATGTTCAGTTTCACATGACAATACAAAAACCAGGTGAGACTTTTTGATTAAAAAGAAGCCGGGGTGTATATTAGTATAAAGACAAAGATCCTCTGTATAGCCTTAATAGACTGTTAGGGCAAGTACTGTTAGCGAGCACCTATGAAAGATGGTACGGCATGCGAGGGGGTGGGTGGCCAGCACCAGTGGCGATGTTTATACATGGCACCAGGTACTCATTTAAGGCTCAGTTGACCTAGGCGAGGCCCCAGGACCGGTTCAGATAATTACCACTAGTGCTCACTGTGAGCAGGAATCGAACTCAGGTTGTCGGATTTCGTAGCGCAGCTCACTAACCGCTACACTGCACCTTCAATCACTTGCATCGTTCAATCACCATCTGCATCTGCTAGCAATGCTGGCACGTGCCTGTAATCCCATAGACTAATCCATAGACCAACATTGGATGGCAGTGTCTCAATATGTTTCACTTTAATCACCAGTCGTGCTCTTTAAAATAAAAGGCACGATGTGAAGAAGAGTAGATTCCAACATCGTGCTCTTAACAGCAGCGATATTTTTCATTTTACAACGACGGGTAGAAGATGCCACCTTGGAATGTTTTAAGGCTCTGAGCATCTACACACTTTTTATTGGGTTTGCAAGGTATTGTGGGGATCCCCCATGATGCCGTAGCCCAACTATTTTGACCTTTGTCATGTACAGGGTGATCCTTTTGTCGACACCTCCACTGATTTCTCACGACCTTCATATTTTCTTGTTCTCCTCAACAGCCGATCAAATGCTGTGAAAGCAAACGTTGCAACCCTTACGGAGGAGAAGATTTAATAAGTGCATTCAGATCGGTGTGAAGACGTGCATAGGCTTTGAAATGGAATGTAGTTTTATCTACACTTTGTCCCCATGTCTTAAGTAAGAATGATTTTGGCTTGCAATATACACAGTAATCGCTCGGGCTCAGGCAGAGAGAACCCAGAAGCACGAGGCACCATCGACAAGCGGGAAAGGCAGCGAGGCGGTGAGCTGGCGCCAAATTCCACCGCAAGCTCCCGTGGTCCTCTACGTACTAAGGTGTTTTCGAACAAGTAATGAGCATTTACAAAAGGAAGGAGATTCACGCGTGCGAGGGGGCCACGTGAGGGTTTCTTTTTACGCGATTTCGCTTTGTGTGCCCATTTTTCGGAACGCATCTACCACGCAATGCGAGGGAACCCTGTATACGTGAAACACATCGGCAAGTGTAAAGCAAAAACGCATCAGGCAGTGGTAAACAAAGGTTTATGGGCATAATACCGTGGCACATATGCCATGCTAGCCTCTGGAGATGCTCACTAACAGCTTCCCCACACTAATATGGGGGTTTATTTTGTTATCTGTGTGCCCGCGTGTGTGAAAATGCTGAACTATGAATTTTCAACTAAGTCAAGAACTGGAAAAAAACCCACAAAAAAATCCAATCTACTGTGTAAACACGGAGCGTATGGGAATAACATGTGCATAGTTAGCATAGTAGCAACCTTGCTATTTAATATATCCCTTTACAACCCTTCATTACGGCCACCAAAAGACTTTCTCAAACTCTGTTTCAGAGGCAAGGTTATATATTGAGCGAGCGAGAGAGAGCTCACACAGACTCCAGGCTTCAGAGACGAAACATAACGCGATGTTAATTTTCAAATTTCAGATATAATCCAGATATTTAACGACCACAATTATAATTGAATATTAGTTTGGCCAAATGCCCAGTATATTGTAACCAGCATTAAACTATGAAAAGTAAAATTAATTAAACTTTTTTTAATTTTACCAGGCAAGACCCACTGAGCTATGTAGCTTTTTTTCAGAAGCGACTTGGCCACAAATGACAGCTCAACGAAATGGCTTATCGCGTGGACATTTATAGCAGCCAAATACTCCAAACGTATGTTGCTTCCAAATGTGGAGGGAAAAACCGAAGGACCCGGAGAAAAATCCACGCGACCACGGGGAGAACAAGCAAACTTTAAATGTACAGGCGTCAGGGTCGGGATCGAACCCACAACCTCCAATAAACCATGCGAGGTAGTTACCATCTCACCACCATGGCGCCCATAGGGGTACAATATGCAAATTGATGCGACTGGCCACATAAAGGAGACCCTTTAACATTTAGTTTGCAGGGGGCTTCAAGAACTGCTTTAGACATCCATACTCTTGTTATTAACCTTTAACTAGACCTGCTGTTTAACAGCACATGACTTAATTGTACGAACTATATGGCCTGTAGAAACACCATAGCTCGTGCCATTAGTTTAATTGAGAGGAAATTCTACAGTGTACTTAATCCTGAATGACCTTCACCCAGATGATTTTTATTTCCCTGCTGTAGACTTGAGCTTTTCTTTAATAGGCATTAAAGTGGTGCTAAATAAAATGCAACATTGCCACTGCTCTGTACATACGCAATTGACCACGCATGCGCACTGACTCATGTATTAACGAGTGAACTGTATGTGGCATTTTCAGATTTAACTGTTGTGTGCAGCACCCTTGTAATGCCTTGCCATGCTACAGTGCAATACAAGTTGTCATTATTATTCGTATTATTATTATTGTTATTCAAGTCAAGTAATCAAATTGTCCCAATCCTCAATTTAGCATTAGTTGGTGTTATCTCCATTCACGGCCGTGAGGTGGAAATAAACATTCTTACAGCAGAGGTGTATCTACCATCGAGACAACTACTGCCTTCCGAAACGAAATGGTACTGATTTTGTAGACCTTTGTGGGATGTATAGGCCAAACTGAACTTTAACCAGGAATTAAACTTGCAACAATCCAATTGCAAGTTGATTGTTGTACTACAAGCACAGTCGTCCGAATAAACTGTGCTCTAAAAGCTAGTGACCTGCGTTCAATTCCTGTCCCCACGTTGAATATCAGTGGCTTGTGATATCCGAACCAGATTTGTCCCTCACACCCACTCCCTTCACGTAATCACACTTGCTAGTGTGGTAAATTATCATGCAATGCCAACGACTGACAATGCGTGGGTAGGCCGCCAACCACCGGCAGATTATAATAAAGGGCTGGAGAGTATTATTTATTTTGAGAAAAAATCATGACGATGTACACTACGAACCAACATTCATGTCTACAAGACAAAAGTCCTTCTCTGGGACAACGTTCTCCAGCGGAGTTTCTTTGAGGGAGGCAAGCGCTTGAACTGCTGTCAACCTTCAGAGTCTCGTCAAAACAATGCCACCAAGTCACCCTCAATGAATAAACGATCATCTTCATGAATCACGCTGTTGCGTCGACCCCATAGCACCGGGGTGCTGGAGGGGGCCGAGCCCCCTTCACCATCCCTATTCAAGGCCCTCCCTGCAAATTGTTAAAGTAAAATGGAACATTTAATATCAGACGCCCCCGAAGGTTTTGTATGCCTTTATACAAGGTCATGCTGCAGGGTTGCTGTGTGCGCACAATATATATGTGCAAACATCAACATGCTTGAACACACTTCCACAATGGATAGTGATTCACACAGCTTTGATATTGTTGTTGTGGCTACCAACAACAACAACAGCTGCAATTCGCCTCGAAGTGGCGGTGATGTCACCACTGCGCTTGTGCCAGACATTGTGGATACCTCAAAGACAAAGATACCCCGTATAGCCTGAACAGATTGTTGGGGCAAGTGGTGTTAGCGAGCACCTATCAAAGCTGGCACGGCACACGAGGGGGTGGGTGGCCAACACCACGCCCGGCAGCCTTTGTCTCCCCAGTGGAGATGTTTACACATCACACCAGTTACTAATTTGACGCTGAGTTGACTTAGGGGAGGCCCAGGACCGGTTCAGATAATCGTCACTGGTGTTGGCTGTGAACACGAATCAAACCCGGGTCTCTAGGTTCGTAGCGCAGCGCGCTAACCGCTACATTACCACTCAATACTGTAAATACCCACACACACAATATGCACACAAACCTGGGAAAGAAGAGTCGCTTGGTCTCTAGGTAGTGGTTGAGGCCCTTCTGTATGTCCTCCAGCAGAGACTCGGCCTCCCTCAGCTTGTCCAGAACCCCTTCCTGAGCCACCACAGCCATGACCCTCGTATCCGCCTTGGCAAGCCCCATGATGTTCTGCCTGTAGAATCGAGGATGGGAGGTCAGTGCGCCGTAGCCCTGTGGGCAATGTGCAGCACGGGCTGCAGCACAGTAGCTCGAAGGTTGCCAACACCATGCCCGGACTGCCTTTGCCTGCCTAGTGGAGATGTTCACACAGGGCACAAGCCACGCCGCCGACGTGTTTATTCTGCGCGGCCACAACAACAACCAAACATCGGTCAAGAAGTGTCGCCGCTCAAACGAGAATCGGATTTGTCGCTCGTCTCTCTGTTCCCGAGGCCCACACAGATGTGGCGTCGTCTCCATCACTAAACACTCGACGGTGCCGCTCCTGTGTTGCTCTGTAAAATTCGGCTCACGAAAAGTTAATTATCCGCTAATTATAAGTACCATATATTTCAGCTCTCGCGTAAGATGGGTTAGGTACATTTACCGCGAGGAAAAAGATGTCTGTTATACAGTGAGTCGTTGTTTACTCGATTAAGGCCGTCAACCCGCTGCTCTTGAGAATTTAGTCAATTATTTCTCGAAAAGGTCAGTGCACTTCCTTGTAAAATAATGAGTCTTGATCGTATCAACTGGTGATCTTGAGGCAAAGCTGTACACCCCATAGTTCCACAGTGTGGGAGAGGGCCCCCTCGATTGCATGGACACTGTTGACTTCCTATAATGAATGGTACCACATTTCATCATCTACGGGCAGGCGACGGGCTTGAGTTGAACCGGTATCGATGAAGTGGTTAGCACTCTAACCATCGTGTGACACTACTCGGATCGTAGCTTAAACATGCTGCATATGAAACAAATTTAGCATAGAATTACGATATAATTATGCAGCCGTGTGTGTGTGTCAGACACGCGTGTTCATCATTGCGCAGGTATAGAAATGCTAAAGTTGGAATGAGATGAAGGCTGGAGAGCGGAGTCACCTCGCAAGGTTACACTGATAAAAGGCAGGCATTATTTGGCCAGTGAAAGTGCTAATTACAGACAGCGCATGATGAATTTGTTTATTTCACTGGAACTTCTCCAAGACGAAGTCAATCCTGCCAAAGAAAATATCAAGGGGGGGAAGAAAGAAAAAAAGCAAGCACCACAGAGTCACCTTTCATCACTCTCCATTGAGAAAAGCATTGATTTTTTTAGAAAGAGAAAAATGACAACTTTAACAGAGCAGCGAATCAATGGGGGCAAGGGACATGGTCTATCCATCACGTAACCCGTGGGGTCACGAAAAAATAACCCTCGCTGGTAATTAAAAGGATAGTGCCAGCAGTGGTGCTGTGGTGCAGCGGAGGTGCTGTGGGCAGTAATTCAGTGCACGGGTCTGCAGCTGAGCCAGCCACCAGAGGCTGTCTGTACCTTGAATAGAACACAATGGGGCCTGCTTGATTGATGTATAACATTATCATGACTCCATTCTGTGTCTCCGAATATAAGCACGCCAAGACGTTGCCCATTGCAGGAGTGGGTGGGGGGGGGGGTTTATATTCTTGAAAATCGTCGCAATCGGCAAATCCACGACCTGCAAACTCAAAAGGCAAATGGGGAAAACGAGGGGTTTGGTTCGCGGTTCGTCATACGACAACCCTCCCCTCTCCTTTTGTTTTATGTTACCCTGCATTAACCCGAACATGAAACTGTAAGTATTTTTTTTACGTAAAATATAATTTATATTTTTTATCTTCTAAAATATTATTTGTGCAGTAAATGTATAGAATAAAAAAAATTATGTAGTGTACAGTTTTGTACTGTATACGTAAAAGCAAACCTGAAAATAAAGATGAGGTTAATTTCATATGAAGTGCAAATATGCAGTTTAAAACAGAACAACCTAAATATACTTTTACTCACTATGAATGATGATGGCGATGATGGTGCGTGTATTCTTCAGCAGCAGCATCATCGCAAGCGGTACAGTTAGAGCACGGTACTTCTTCTACGATGCGTACAGAAAACCTCACGAAATGTGAATAACCGAGCCACAGGGGTACGATCGGCAAACTATACCTCAATAAACTCGGCGCGAATGGTCAAATCTTCGCTGGAAAAACCCGCGATGGACGAAATTTGAGTGTGCAAATGTTATTCGTCAATCGGATTATTGGATCTCCAGACTGATATGATTCAGCAGCATTTGTTTAACAGAGCAAAGCATGGAGCGGTTTCAGCCTACCTCGGGCTCTTCAGCAGCGTCAGGTTAAACAAATACTGCAGGGTTAGCAAATATTATTGGCAAGAGCACTCCATCTAAACGTTGGGGCCTTGTTCAACGAAAAAGCAATGAGTGGTATGATGGATGTAGCGGCTTTTGGCCATCAGTCTGATTGAATGGTGGCAGATTTTGGATAAAATCAGAACCATTCTGTTAATATTAAAGTTGAAATCGCGTGACACCAATTCCACGCAAACACGTGACTAATGTCTGCTGATATTAATTTCGATGCTGTTGGCTGGCCAATAGTGGACAGAGTTGTGGCATATCCATCTTGAGGAAGAGAACCCCCCCCCCCCCCCCCGTTCTTTGAGGGACCGGGCTGTTGAGGAGTGCCGCACCATTTCATCCTGATTCAGGAGTGCAACTCGATGCCTCCAATCTGTGACTTTTTTTGTGGAAAATCCCCGAAGACGTTTGGAACGAATTTTGGTAATGTAGCACCAATCAGGCAAGGGTTTGTGAATCATCACGCGACAGAACCCCGTGAATACGTTGGGAGAACATCGGTCCCACCACATTGCAACGGTGGCCCAACGTTGGAATGTTTACTCGGAGATTGTTCTGAGTTTATGAGCTTCATCATCATCATCAGCAACGGCGTAGAGGCAAGATTATTGTCACTATCATCTCTATCGTCAGTATGCAATAATTGGTCATCAATGTTATCATCATACACTACATACACGTGCACGGATTAGGGCTCGTATAGTGAGTATTACACATTATGCTGTAATTGCTGCCCCAATCTAAATCTATTGCAAATTATATATGCACCCAAGTGATAGCCAGGGGATAGGCAAACAGAAACTAATGAACAGCAAATCAACGGCTTATCTACTCCTGAGGGATAGCTAATCAACAGCTCGTAAATGACAAAACAGCACAGGTACCACTGATTAAGAGACAGACATCAAGAGCTGACCAACAGCTGATCAACAGTACAAAGGGAAGTCAAATAAAAGTTAATTAACATCTGAGAGACAACCTATTGAACTGCAGATACAAAGACTGATCCTCAGCCAAGCAACAGCTAATCAGCCACCAACCTGCTGCTTATCAACTCAAGTGACGTCCGACCTATGGCTGTACAACAGAATCACAATGTTTGTGCCTTGCACTATTGCTGGGAATCCATACATGGGTGGGGGAATTGTTGTGTTGTTGCAATATTCACCACAACCACCAACAACAGCCATTCGTTACTAAGTGGCGTTGACGTCAACATGGGCGATTGTGCCAGGCCATTTGAACTTTAAGGCCACGTCAAGTGTCGAACGCCAACTGGTAGGAGGTCACAGGACAGACCCAGGTGTCATGGGTTGACTGACTGGTGAAAAACAACCCTTACCTCCTCACATCACCACTAGCGTCGTCATCATCGTCATCATTAGCCATGATCCAGCCACTGCTCAATCAAAAGCGCCTCAAGTCGTCATTATCCCTAATCTGTCTGCTGATGCAACAATTAATCTAGTTGTTACACACTAAGCTGCTCGTCTCATTGCTCCATGTCCAAGATGGACGGACCCTTGGACTGTACTTGGGTTGCCACTCAGTCATTAGTCTCGATCGGTAGCCAGCACCCCTGAAAGTCATGTGTCCTTTCCAAGCCGTATTATTTGTCTTAACAGCCATAATGAAGTAGCTTGCTTGCATTTATTCGCTCAGCCGTCCGTTCTTCTTTGCTTGTAATTTGAAGCATGCACAACTCCAAGCTTATCTGCAGAATGTTCAGATTTTTTTCTCCAATTTTCTTTGCCAATATCCATGTTTCTGATCCATCTGCCAAGGGGTCGGTTTACACTGATACAAAAAAACTGTCCCGATCAGGTGAATTAGTGTGGTGTATCCATGATCAAATTCAGCTTTCCGAAAGCAATCCAACCTGTTCTCACCTGTTCATTTATCTCATCATTATGATACCGATCTACCTTTAATAACTGCCCTAGACATACATACTCTGATGCGTTTGCCAGTCATATGCCTAACGATCTAAAACCTGATATTATACAGGACAATCCACAGAAGGCCTTACAACTCGTTACGTAAAATAACGCAACCATTCACAAATACAACTGAATACAATCCTGAGGGAATAAAACTGAATAAAGCTAAACAGGATCAAACAACTCTTCATTTGATTAGCCAATTTGTTGTGTATACATTTTTGCTCACATTTATCATGAGCCCAACTTTGCGGCCTTCTTTATTAACCTAAATAAGGTTAGCCAATGCTCTCAAACCTTTCTCTCTATATATAAAATTATAGAGGATATTGCTGGGTGGCTCCATCATTTAATGGTCATCACGCCTGCCGACACTTCAATTCCACCCATCGCTATAAGCAATTTCTATTGGAAATTGCCAAAGCATGTCACCCAATCCAAGCACTAACCAACCTTGACCTTACCGATATGGTCATAGGCCAATGCGTTGTCACTTGCAGCGCGTGAGAAGACCACTGTGTGTGAGTGTCAGTGGTCAAGAGAAAAAAAAATCAAATCAAGCTGACAAGCCAGTGCGATAAAGGAGCCCCCCGTTATTTTTTGTGAAATCATGTCAATGTCTGTTGCCAATCTTCTGCACAAAAAAAACTATAGATATGGGTTGTTGGTGATTTGCACGGTCATTTGCGTAGTGGATAGTTTTGGAGTTTTGAAAATGTCTTGAAAGCAAGTGTCTTCAGATAGAACGTACCGCTCAATGCAACAATAGTTCTCAGGCATACGTATGGGTAGCTTATCGGCTCTCTGAAAAATTGTCACCTGACAAATCCTGCCCGAGTCTTCAGGGCTGTTTAG